TGATGATGATGATGATGATGATGAATGGTGGTGTTGATGATGATGATGATGATGATGATGATGATGGTGATGATGATTGATGATGATGATGATGATGATGATGATGATGATGATGATGAGATGATGATGATGATGATGAGATGATGATGATGATGATGATGATGATGATGATGATGATGATGATAGGAGGAGGAGGAGGAGGAGGAGGAGGAGGAGGAGGAGGAGGAGGGGGATGAGGAGGCGGAGGAGGATATGAGGGACGGGGCAGCGGGGAACGAGAGGAGGGAGAGGAGAGAGGGGGATAGGGAGAGAGTAGAAGGAGACGGAATAGGAGGATGAGGATGAGGATGTGGATGATGATGGGGATGATGATGATGTTGATGACGAGGATGACGATGGTGGTGATGAGGATGATGCTGATGGTGGTGGTGGTGGTGATGATGATGAGGAGGAGGAAGAGGAGGAGGAAAAGGAGGAGGAGAAGGAGTTGGAGGAGGAGAAGGAGGAGGGCGGTCCGGAAGACAATATGAAGAGATTTGCGAGACGAGGATATTTCTTTGGAGGGGGTGCGGGGCACGGCAGGTTGGATCGTGTCGTGTCGACGCGGCGGCTTTCGCCGCTGCGGGCCTTCGAGGTTGAACCCCGCCAGTGGCCTGGAATCGGCCGACGTCGAACGATCTCCGATACCAGAGAGACGCGAGATCGTTCAGGGTGGAACGCATGGCGGGGCGTCAGAAACCAGCATGCAAGCCGCGACGATACGAATCCTGCCGTGAGCTTTAGCGCAGCTCGGGGTCCTGACCCCTGGGACGTCCCCGGACGCCCCCGGAGGGCGCCTCGGGGCGCCGCCGGCCGTCCTCCGGGGGCTGCAAGAAAAACAAGGTGTCGGGAGCGCCCGCGCAGTCCCGGGATCCTTGGGCCCGGCGAGCAAGACTCAGCATGAGGGAAAGCGAGTGTTGCTATAGAGGTGCCCCTGGCCCGAGGTGCCCCCAGGATTCTCGGGGTGGCCCGGGCGGCCTCCAGGGCACCCCTCACGAGGCCCAGAGGGCGCTGGGGGGCTGCAAAACGGAGCGGGAAGCTGGGGCACCTTGGGCCAGGGGCTTTTCTAGCAACACCCGAGGAAAGGGGACATGAGGGAAGCAAACGAGTCTCGGGGCCCTTCCCTGGGCCCCGGGACTGTCAACAAGAGCGAGTCGGATGAACAGCTGGTCCTGGGCTCCAGCACCCGTTTCTGCCGGGACTCGTCCTTTTCTTTCATGCCCGCAGAATTCAGTAAGACAAGTGGGCACAAACACAAACAAGCCATGATTTCGAGGAACACTGGGGAGATAGTGGAAATGGAGGGGAAGAGGGACATCCAGGAAATATGGCAAAACACCGGACCCCCTGGAATTTATGTTGATTTGTTGGTGTCTCCATGGGCCCCTTCAAGGAGCCGTGGATCCTCGGCACGCGGCTGCGGCGGGCAGAGCTCAGCACGGGGGGCGCGTTTGGCTGCCGTCGTGACACAGTAGTAGGCGTTGATTGTGGGCGTCCATTGTCGACGTTGATCGTTGACCACCGTCGCGGTCGTCGTCGATCGTCGCCGCCGCCGCCGCCACCGCCGCCGCCGCCGCCGCCGCCGCCGTCGTCGTCGTCGTCGTCGTCGTCGTCGTCGTCGTCGTCGTCGTCGTCGTCGTCGTCGTCGTCGTCGTCGTCGTCGTCGTCGTCGTCGTTCGTCGTCGTTTGTCGTCGTCATCGTCGTCGTCGTCGTCGTCGGCGGCGACAGCGTCGTCGTCGTCGTCGGCCGTTGACGATCGTTGGCGTTGATCTCCTGCTCGACCCCCTCGCCTGCGCGCGCGCGAGGTCAGGAGGTGTGGCAGCGCGGCTTCCAGGCGCTCGCCGCCTGGCCCCAGGTGGCGTCGCCGTCGTGCCGCCGTCGTCGCCCGCCCCTCACTTCTGAGCGTCCGTCGCCGTCGTGCCGCCGTCTCCGGCCCCTCAGATTTAAGTCGAGCCTGTCCCTCTACAGGGGGAATATTTAAGAAAAGCCAGAACATAGTCAGGGGACTATTTTTGTATACCATTTTGGAGTACGTTTTGAGCATTTATTCCATACCTAGGCTCTGCCTAGAAGGGTTCTTACTTTAGAGCTTAAAGGACCGTGCAGTGGAAATCGCCCCGGGCGGTTCCCCCAGGATCCGCCCCGCGGTTCCCCCAGTTATGTCCCCTTACCTTAGCGTTGCTGATCTCATCTTAGCTTAGCTTATTTCATCTTAGCTTAGCTTAGCTTCATCTTAGCTCAGGTTTATCTTAGCTTAGCTTACCTTCATCTTAGTTTCGCTGAGCTTTAGCATCGCAGAGCACAGCATAGCATAGCGTAGCCTAGCATAGCGCCTACCTAGGCTTTGCCTAGAGGGTTAGCTTAGCTTAGCTTAGCATAGCGCAGCGCTGCATTAGCATAGCATATCATAGCATACGATAGCCACGCATGCCATAACATACCATAGCATATCATAGCATGGCATATCATACCATAACATTGTGCAGCAGATCATAGCATATCATATCATATCATAACATTTCATACCATAGCGCAGTTTAGCATGCCATATCATATAATAGCTTAGCATAGCACAGCGCACCATGATATAGCATAGCTTAGCTTAGCACAACATGTCATAGCATATCATATCACATCATATCATATCATATCATACCATAGCGCAACATAGCATAACACAGCATACCATAGCATACCATATCATAGCATATCATAGCATAGCCCAGCATAGCATGGCATAGCATAGCATATCATAGCATAGCAACTAATGCTGCTTTCCTAGGGGCTCCAACTTCTAGGTAGGGTCACACTGGGGTAATTATTTTTCGTCGAAAATCCCCCTGCAGGGGGACACGCCCGACTTAACCTCAGTTCCCCTTCGTCACAGCAACGCCGTGACGGCCAGCCTCTCGGCGTCCTCGCCCCCCCACAGGCCGCCGTAGGCGTGGCCCATGGGGCAGGCAGACCACCGCTCGGGGGTGGGAGCTGGCCCTATAGGGAGGGGTCGAGGCCACCGGGCCCCGTCTTCCTCCCGAGGGTTTCGAGGCGCCGCGCTGGGTTCTTGGAAGATTCAAGGCGAACGCCGCCTGGAGGGCCAGTTACAAACTGGGTTCGGCTTATCAGTTTGGGTTCGTATCTGATGTCTGGGCCGTCCCCCTTTGGCTTCACAAGGGAGTGTCATGAAAGATCTCGATACTTGGCTTCACTTTGCTCCTCTACTTTGCACGACCCCTCGAATTTGTTTTTGTGAGGCAGCGCGGCCTCTGGGCTCTTCCCGAGGGTTTCGAGGAGCCGGATGTCTGTGCCGTCCCTCTCTTCTTCTTCCGTCTGGGCCCCGCGGGGCCGCGGCCCCGCGGCACCGCGGGGCGCCTTCTCGCGGGCGCCCCGCGCGGGCAGCATCCGTGCGACCGCGCATCCGCGGGGTCGCGCTCCGGAAGCCAGGCCGCGAGGGTGCGGGGACGGGTCTGCTCGCCGCTCGTGACGCGTGGCGCGCTCCAGAAGAGGCCCCGCCCTCGAGGATCGAGGAAGTTCACGCCTCTTCCCTGGCGGCAGGCGGCGGAAGGGCGGCGGAAGCCGGCCGGGGCAAAACAGGGGCAGGCTCCGCGGGTGGAAGAACCGCGAAAGCTCGGCGGGAGGAGCAGTCGCCCCCCCCCCGCGACAGAGCAGCTTCTTGAGATCCCGGGTTGGAGTCGGGGCTCCGCGGCGGGCTCAGTATGGTTGAACCGATCCCCATCCCCAGCGGCGTGGCCTGGGCCCCACTGGCCGATTTACCCGCCCAGATGGGGATATAGGTTGCTCCCTTCGGGTTTCGAGGGGTGCATCCCCAACTGGGGTGGTGATTTCGTGGGGGTCTCGAAGGGGATTGGGATGGGGATGGGGGTCGGTGAAACGATACCGAGGCTCCTCCTTTTCTTTCTCTAGGTTTGTTGCGCAGCCTCAGCTCTGCCGCGCTCCGGCTGCTGCTGCTGCCCGACGGTTCGTGCCTCACGCCGGCGCTGACACACAGAGTCTGTGCTTAAGTCGGGCGTGTCCTCCATACAGGGGGATTTTTGACGAAAATAAAACAGATTCCAACAATATGCCAAAATGGTGAAAAAGTTCAAAAAGTAGTCCCCAGACTATGTTTTGACTATTTTTGAATATTCCCCCTGTAGAGGGACAGGCCCGACGTAAGTCTGGGCCCTCCCCTGGCATGGATGGCTTCGGGCGGCGCACGGCGCCCCCCCCCATCAGGTAGCCCCAGCTGGCCTCAGCAGGCCCGCGACAACAGCCCCAGCTCTCCTCGACAGGCCCCCCCTCCTCCTCCTCCTCCGCCTCCTCCTCCTCCTCCTCCTCCTCCTCCGCCTACTCCTCCTCCTCCTCCTCCGCCTCCTCCTCCTCCTCCGCCCCCTCCTCCTCCTCCTCCTCCTCCTCCTCCTCTTCCTCCTCCGCCTCCTCCTCCCTCCCCCTCTCCTCCTCTCCTCCATCCTCCGCCTCCCTCCTCCTCCTCCTCCTCCGCCTCCTCCTCCTCCTCCGCCCCCTCCTCCACCTCCTCCTCCTCAGCCCTTGGGCGCGGAGCGACTTAAGGGCGCCGGCGGAGGCGGCACTGGGGTGTTGAGGCCGCCCCGGACTACTCGGGGGGCCTGCTGAGGCCAGCTGGGGCTACTCGGGGGCCCTGTTGAGGTCAGCCAGGACTGCCTGGGGGGCCGGCTGTGTGCAACTGGAAGCCTTAATTACCACCTCCCTCCCCAAACGTTGCGATGTCTTGATTTTTTCAGTGCGGAGTCCCCGGAAGTCTGAACCCTTTCACACGGCAAGTTTTTCGTCCTGGGTAGTTTTTTGATGGCGCTGGAGCCTCGCAAGGGCCACCGTAGGCGGAAAGCGGCCAACCTTGCTTCGACCGCTTAACAATACGAGCATTTGGGTCTTCTCTTCCTCCCTCCCCGCACCTGCTGCCCCCCCCTCCCAGGTGTTCTCCCAGATGCAGCAGGCGTGGCAGGCGCAGGCGTCGCAGGCGGCACAAGGGTGGCAGCAGGCCCAGCAGTGGCAGGCGCCCCTGGGCGAGTTGTCCAATTCTCTTCTTTGAGGCAAGTTATTTTGTGTCGGGCGAGGAGGAGAATGAGGAGAGGAGGAGGAGGAGGAGGAGGAAGCAGGAGAAGGAGGAGGAGGAGGAGGAGGAGGAGGAGGAGGAGGAGGAGGAGATTAAGGAGGTAATGAGGAGGAGGAGGAGGAGAGGCGGAGGAGGAAGGAGGAGGGGAGGAGGAGGAGGAGGAGGAGGAGGCCGGAGGGAAGGATTGAGGAGGGAAGAGGGAAGGAATGAAAGGAAGGAAGGAAGGAAGGGAGGGAGGGAGTGAGGGAGGATGGAGGAGGAAGGAAGAGGATAGGAGGAGAGCGAGGGAGAGAGGGAGTGAGGAGAGGGGGAGGAGGAGGCGGAGGAGGAGGAGGATGAGGAGGAGGAGAGGAGGATGACAGAAGGAGGAGGAGGAGGAGGAGGAGGAGGAGGAGGAGGTGGAAGAAGAAGGAGAGGAGGAAGAGCAAGAGGAGGAGGAAGATAAAGGGGATGAGAAGACGATGAAGAGGTTACTTTTGTTTCACCCGCGCGGCCCCCATGTGGTAGGGGGGGGGGGTAAAGTCTCCCATCCAGTTCAGTTTAAGCGAATGCAGGAAGCCTTGAAGGCGAGGCAAACCTCGACACGCTGAGCATCAGTTTCCGACCTCATCTTGGGCTCGGCCTTCGAACAAGGCAGGGAGCTCCTCAGGACAGGGCGTCGCAGCCCCCCCCCCCCCCCACACACACACACCCGCTGCCCCTGCCCAGGCTCATCCTGGGCCGAAGAGCGGCATCCATACATATACGCAGCACCCCGCGGTTGCGGATAAGAGTGAGGGGGCGGCGAGGACGTCGTCAGTCTGCGAGGCTCTGAAGAAGCCCGCCGCAGGCGCCTAACTTTTACACATTATGCAGTGAGCCCGCCGCAGGCGCCGATTCTTTTGCTAAAGCAATGTGGGTGGATCGCGGGGTGGGTCGCGGGTGGGTGCGGGTGGGTCGCGGGCTGGGTCGCGGGCCGGGTCGCGGGTAGGTTGCGTATGGGTCGCGGGTGGGTCGCGGGGTGGGTCGCGGGGATGGGTCGCGGGCCGTGTCGCGGGCTGGGTCGCGGGTGGGTCGCGGGGTGGGTCGTTGGGTGGGTCGCGGGGTGGGTCGCGGGGTGGGTCGCGGGGTGGGTCACGGGCGGGTCACGGGGTGGGTCGCGGGGTGGGTCGCGGGTGGGTCGCGGGGGTGGGTCGCTGGGTGAGTCGCGGGGTGGGTCGCGGGGTGGGTCGTAGGGTTGGTCGCGGGTGGGTCGCGGCCGGGTCGCGGGGGGGACGACGACAACAACAAGCAGAATCCCCGCCACGGATCCCCACTTCAGCCACGCACCCAGGGACAATGAATGACCGCTCGGCCCCCTCACTCTGATATATCTCTATATATATGTATATATATATATATATGTATCTATAGATAGGTGCGTACATCTGTATACATTATATATA